AAATCACATATCACAATTTTGACCCGATCGACCTAGTATAGGTAGGAAAGTAAACAAGATTACTTCTTTGGAAACCCCCTTTTTTAGTGGAACCAAGATCTCTATTGATATAATATTGAGTCAATATAATTACACCGTGTGAGGTACCTATTCAATATATTGCTTTCAATTATATTTCTTCAATAATATTGGCGCAATAATACTGACCGTGTAAGTGGCCCTTAAATCATGACTCTCTTCCCTTTATACTAATAAGGAACATGTCTGTACAGCTTATAGGTTTAGATCCATCTTTGCATACTAGAAGACTTAATTCATTTGAAAAATAAATTATAATCTTTCGTAATGAAAAAAAACAAGTGCGTTTGTGTGCAAGTATATGTGTTAGTGTGCAAGTATTAGTATTAGTTTTAATACGACTTTCTGAGACGCTGATTAAAAGTTTGGTGTTACATGGTGATAAACTAGGCTAAATTTGTACCATTAAATCGAACTTCATATCGATAAATATTTTTAGTTATAAAGTAGATTTTTTTTTCAGTTTATGCAAACATCTTGTTAAGCATTACGACTATTCAGTTCATTTTCTTTTTCTATAATATAATGTAGTTTTAAATTTAAATAGAAAAAAATGAATACAATACTCGTGAACAGCAGAGTTATTGGATTAAAGGAGATTAAAAAATAAAAAGATTATTTGAAATATTTGATACAGTTTTTAAGTAAAGGAAAATGTATTACAAACTAGCGAAATCATGAAATATACATTATACTATTATTTAAAATTGAGCTAGGTTATTCATGGTCATATAATAATATATAATTGATGCATAATAATATTTAACTAAGTGTTTGTATGTTAAAACAAATATAATCTTTTAAAAAAGATTGAATTTTTATATTTTTGTAATGAAGAAAAAGTAGAAATAAGTTAAGTAAATGATACATATTTTTTTCAGATCATAACAACGGTTTATAATTCAATCTTGAATACAAAAAAATCGATTACCCCTTTTTTATTTTAAACGACAGCTACCGCACAGCTTATACATATTGCGGGTTAACATCCATGATGATTGTAGGCGTTGATACAGAGAACTGTGCAGTAGTTATGCGTATTATAATTTCCTATCGAAACAGTTAGCTATTAATGGTTGTGCATAAAATTTTCGCATTATCAATGTCTGGTGTGAAAAAAATCTGGTGCGTGCATCACACGATTTCCACTAACCACCCTCTTCTTAGCAGAAATAAGTGTTTTCAGACAAAGGGAAAGTGAAAGTAAAAATTATAGACGCTATATTTATTTACATTTCATTGTGAATATTTCTATATGTTTAATTACCCTTATATATTCAAATTTTAATGTTTATATCGCTCTAATCTGTACAATTAAATATTAAGTAATACCAACGATAGCATTTATGAAAACCGCATTGTTAGCATTATTATATGTGCATAATATTGTCGGAGTCAGTATTATACTAAGCTCATGTTATGTATGGCAGCTTGTTCTAATCTTTCGTACGAGCTCGTAATCCTTTGGTTCCTGCATTACAACTATTATCCGTTACGATCTCTTATTTCTCCGTTAGTTAATTATCAAATTCTTTCATATTTTATATTTAAATATTTATATCAAAGATGAATGTGAAATGGTTAATTATTTCTAATAAAAAAATAAAAGGGACTTTAGAGGCAGCTAATATTGAAAATTAGTCATTTAAGCCCTTTTAGAGAACATCAATCATAATAAAACTACATTATATTAAAAAATGCTTCATTTTATACAGATATAATTAATTTAATCAAAATCGTTCGAGCCGTTTTCGAGAAAATCGTAAAAATTAGTTAAATTGATGATATAAAATGCCTCTTCCGGTTAGCCGATTTTGACGAAAACGTTGCTGTAACATCCCAGGTATATAAAAAACTTAAATATGCAATTTGATATTCGTTTTTGAGTTAGACTGTTAACACATACACAGACGTTTTTGCGGAACTCGGTTATTTGGACTCTGGGGATCTCAAAAACTGTATTTCCTTTGGAAACTGAGATTCGAAAGTTTTCACGATCGCAATACTTTCCTTTACTATATATTTCATTTATAGGCAAGTGAAAGTAAAATCAAGTTAAACAAGAAACTGAAAATACAATACTCTTTTTGTTCCAAATCAGACAAAAACTAAATGCATACGCATACCTAGTACCTACTTAAATACCTAAAATACCTACTTAACCCATTTGGACATACGCCTAACAGATATACGGTTCAGTGAAAAAGACTCATTTACAAATACTACAATATTTTCAGTCCATAATTTTACGACTAACAACAGCAGTTTTCTGGTACGTAAACAACAAAACTTTACATAACTACTTATGACAACCAACTATCGACCAACACATACGTACAATAACCAAGATTGACAGCACGACCGAAGATCTAATCTGGAAAGCGATGAAAATACTATAAACCTTTCTTCTTCTGTTTTTTTTTTACTAATTATTATTAGAGATTAATTAGCATGCGTATGTACCCTCTGGATGATTGTTTCCGTTAGGTTTAGATGTGGCATAATAGTCATAATAATATATGTTATATATAGTCATTATGTTTAAATGTTCTTCTTTTCTTTTTGTTTATAATTTTTTTTTGGTACATATAATTAATTGTGTATATATTTGTTCCTGTTAATAAACCACGAGCTTGAAACAATCGTTTTTTTTTTTTTTTGCTGTTTTATAAAATCCAACATAACCCTTCCACTTCAGCTAGGTACTAATTAATTTTATTACGGCCAAAGAATAATTGATGAGTAAATTTTTATTTATTGTTTCTGTATTTGTCTCTTTATGGATTAAAGGCGAAAATAGCCAGGCTTCCAACAACTTCATTATAAAAAACTATTCTTATTAAAAATTATTTTTTTGATCATATTTTTCTTTGGTCACGATTTTATGTGAAAATATAAGAACATAACAACAGTTTTATGACCGAGATGGCCACGGTTGACATGGCCATTACGAGGAGACTGAAGAGGAGCTGGATGAGAGACCTCCTTTCCTGATTTAAAGAAGCAAAAAAAGACCAGGAAGAGGTACTTGTGGGTGTCATCCTTCCTAATTCCTTTACCATCTATAATCTCAGCAAATTTGCTGATTGTTACTCTCATGCCAGGAGCGGATAAAGGTATGAAGAGAAAAAAAAAAGTTAAAATAAGTAACAATAAGTTAAATATTTCGGTATAACGTGTTATAATGCTTATGATTAACTCCATCAGTTATTGGTTTCCTATTATTAAATTGATTATTATTATGGTAAAGGCTAGAGACCTCTCTATGAAACACGGAGATGGGAAAATTTTCTGTTAAATCCTAGCTTGTAGATTGGTAATCGTGACAATAACATCCATTAATCAGATTTACATTTCCTGTGTCCAGTGCCTATATATAATCTAAACTATTTATTTCCAGAATCTCAAATTTGGAAATTAGGTCAATAAGCAGTATCTGTAAAGTAGTATCTGTCCTTAACACTAAACATACCATAACGGGTCAAATGACCCATTTTAAACTTTTCCATTGAAAATGCACGTATAATTTTATTGCGTTTGCTCATTTGACTTCATGACTTTTTCTAAGTAATTAATGCACAGTTATAAACATATTTTTGTTTTGTTTTGTTTTGTTTATTCTGACTAATCCTTGTTGTATACCGATATTTACCACAACAGGTCATTTGACCCGGAGAGAATTTTTTTGTTTTATGAGATTATATAGTCATATTTGTAGTCAGTAAGTTGCACATTCTTCTAAAGACTGTTGCGTAAAGTAGTTCAACGAAAATAGCTCAGAATAATTTCAAGAAAATATTAAATTTTAGATTGAAAATAGCTTTTTAGTGTAAGAAAAAGTGGCAAAAATTGAAAGTCTTGGTAAGTACCTAGCTTATATTTTATTTTGATAGCTATAGTAATACAGATCATTTTTTACCCAGGAAAATGTCGAAGCAAACAAGACAGTACAGGTTCTTAGAAGATATAAATAATATTGGCGAAGAGTTTTCAGAAATTAGTGAAGATGAATTTTCTGAAAATGAAGATATATCGGTTGCAAATAAAAATGAGTTTGATTCTACAGATACTGACGATGAAGAGGAAAATATTGTGAATGTATGTAGTGGCCGAAAAAGAATAAGATTACTCACAAGTTCGGAAGAAAGTGAAGTAGAAATAAATGAAGAAAATGTTGGGAATGATGGATCTGTTTGGCAACAAATGCAATACTTTGAATTAAAAGTTTTTATTTTTTGCTTTTGTTATAGAAATGCCCAACATACTATTTTGTTTAATCATAATAAATTTAATTTATATTTTTATTTCCTTCATAACATCCATATTTCATACATTCAAGCATGAAACATAAAGTCGGGTCATTTGACCCGCTATGGTAGAAATAGGTATATATTAAGTCTTGGTATGATTAGTGTTATATTTAAGTAAAAATCATGAAACAGAAAAGAGAGAGAGAGAGAGGTAGAGGATTTATTTTCAGGGTTTTATTATTTAAAATTCTTTTAGTACCCCTGCGGGAGGTAAAAAAAAATTATCATCTGAATCAAACATATCCACTAGCATTTTATATTTTGGTCATCATGGAATAATGGAACAAATATGGTTTCATGTCTGTTTGTCTGTATTCAAATCCATATGACGGGCTTGCGTTTTTCTTGAAGACTGTACTACATAAGGCTTTTCCTGTAGATTTAGCCCTTGAAATATAGGTAATTATGTAACCAATAGAAATAGTGAGAAAGGTAATGTGACCATACTCAATGAACTTTTTACATTCTTCATTGTGCTACTACTTTATCTTAGTATATTATTTATTTATGCCTCCCTTCCTTGCCTTTCGGCTACACGGGATTTTGCAGGGATGGTATATCACACACGTGCATTCCAAATTTATCTTAGTATATAAAAATTATTAATCTCACCACTGAAGAGGTTCTTGAGGCCGATGATGGTGGATATTATGAGAGAGAGGAGAGCGAGGGTGACCCCCTTCCAAGCAGCGTAGAGGACGACGGCGAGGAGGGCGGGTACCACCACCGCCAGCAGGAGCACCTTGAGGCCGACCCTCAGCGACGGCATGCGGCTGTGCTTGTGCGGCTTGCTACCTCGACCTATCGTCAGTTATCATCTTTATTTATTATAAGTATAATCATAATTACAAATATATGATTCAAGTAAAACAATATTCAGACATAATATATAAGCAATAAAAAAATATATATCTGGTGCAATGCGTGCATCACTAAACTTTCACTTACCACCCTACTTTCAGGTGAAATAAATTTATTTTTAAACTAAAATAAGCATAATATAGAAAAGAGACATAAGGTGATTGTGTTGTAATTGGAAAAATCCAGACAACAAAACTATCAGTCTCGCATACCAACATTTCGCCAATTCAGGCATCATCAGTATAAAAACACCTAGATCACGTGTATGCAGAAAGAAAACAAAAATTAATGTAGTAGACATCTCACGAAGCCATACACATATATAGTGAACGAAAGAGAAGGTTCTATTAACAACGTCTAAGGAAGATTATATTCAACAGCTGACTAGATGTAATAAAAGGAGAAAAGGTAGGTATAACTAAAATATAATAGCACAAAACGTGTTTCAATAAATTAAAAAAATATATATAAATAAGTAAAATAAAAAAAAAAATGATAATGCTCGATTCATATATCAAGACGGTCTATTTAAGTAATTAAACTGGCAGGTCAGGTATGGGGAAGAATATCCACCCTTACCATGCTTTGTTAAGGAAGTCTCTCATCCAGAGCCTTTTTAGTCTCCCTATATTTAAAAAAAAAATCTAATTTAAAATGTTTTGTGTAGATCAGCAATATTATATATCAACATCACCATATCAGCAGAAAAGGTCAAATTTTTCTTAATACTTGCTTGAAGTGGGCGAATGGTTACAACGTCGATTACCAAAGGCTGGTAGTTTTCAAGAATTCGCTGAATACCTTTTTATTTGCAAATCTTTAGTATTTAATTTATATATATATATATATATATATATATATATATATTATTACAATATACGACTTTATTACAACACTTCATGGTCATAAGTCGCAGCCTGATAAGCTCTGCCGCCATTTCTTCCTGTCACAGCCTTCCTGTCTTCCTCCCGGTGCCCTCTTGCTGCTATTGCCTCAGGAATACCTTCTATCCATCTTTATCTGGTAGATCTCTTTTTCTCATTTTCATGTTTAAATAACCTTTTAGGTCATCGGTCGTCCGCCATTCTCATAACGTGTCCAAATATTATCCAGTATGTAACCGATAAGATCTTCGTTGCCTTGTGCAATTTTTCCCTCATTTTAAATTTAACTTCAGATAAATCGAAAAGGCATTGCAATCAACGTCTCTTTCATCAAAAATAATAATATGATGGAATTTCTTACTTTATATAATAACGCATAATTTTCTTTCGTATCAAAAAATGGATAGAACAAAAAACATCCCGTTCTATGATGACGAAGATTTAGTAATTGAAAGGAGCCCTTTTAATTCTTTTTCAGAATCTAAACGAAGAGGATTATTCACACTATGAATTATTGCAGAATGTAAAGCTTTAAATTAGTTAATCATTTGCTGAATTAGGTAAACCGCACGAGGCTTTGCTGGCCAAGCGTGTTAAATCTTTGCCAGTTTTACCATTCTCAAGCCTAGCTGTACGTTATAGTAAGCGAGAGGAATCCGGCCGGGGTTGAAATTTGTTTCGTGACGGTTCATCTCGAACTTACCACTCCTATGAGAATAGGTATGTACTTCTACAACAACCCCTCATAATTCAAAAATGGCGATATATGGGATAAACGAAGAAAAAAGTAATTGCTGTAATGCAACTTGTTATATCCAAACTTTTAAAAGATTCAGTATGCTTAATGTACTGTAAAAACATGATTAATAATTCTTGGATTGTCCTTTGAGACCGATTGTAATATGTTCAACAAAAAAGTAAAAAAAAATAAAAATTCTTGAATGCATTACATTGAATTAAACTCCGAATAATGCCCCTCAGAAGAGACCTTTTTTTTATGGAAATTTGCAAAAGCGTTTTCTAAAATCTATTCTAGTACGAAATTTGACAACTCTAGAACTAAACTGTTTTACCTTGAACAAAAAAATAAATATGTAGGTATTGAAAAATAAAAGATAAATTCTTCAAATCTGAGAAATTGTAATAATACATTGAGTGCTCCTTTCCTATCTTGATTTAGTATTTGAATTTAAGGAAAGAGATCCCTCATCCAACGTCTTGTGAGTCTCCTGAGCGTGTTGTCGAACAAGTTAATTATGACCATATCTTTTATGATTGAGTGTGTTAGTATATCCGTGTAAGTTGATCTGCAATCTTTTGTAATGTGTCTGTATGTGGTCATTAACTGTTAAAAGAAGGAAATTTTTATATATTTAAGTTAAAGCAAAAAAAAAAAAAAAAAAAAAATACAACTTATTGCTTTTTTGTTTAAAATAATATTTCACTTTTTGACATGTATATTTCAATCATCATTGAAAGACTCATTAGTTTCATCTTGATGCCACAATGATTCAGTCGAAAAATAGACTATACTTCACAACAATAAAATTATAACTTGCATTAAATTGTCTATGTACCATTATTCATTCTAATGGTGAATCCCTTAATATGTGAGTTCCTTAATAGGAAATGAAAACATTTAGGTCAATCGATGCCTTTTTTGGAAGAAATAAATTAAGAATAGTATTTTCTCTAGCTCACGTTTGAATAAGTAATATTTAGGAGTGGCGTCGATTATCGCTTTTGTAGGTAATGGACTCCAATCCTCCCCTCGTCGGCGGGTGAAAGAAATATTTCGGTGACTGTGCAGAACCTCAGTGCTCTCCGATAATTGCCATCCTAAAGGCTGTGTATGTTCCAAAGTAGCCCGGTCTTGTCCGGGCAGTTGACGAAGTCATTTATTTAATCGCATTCACTCTTCACTGTCGCAAATAAACGCCTTCGTGCCTGACAAATGGGGTGTTGATTGAGTGGTTTTCTCAAGAAAATGTTGACGTTTCCTTTCCTCAAGGGCATGTGATGATCATAAAACATTCATGAGGCTATATTCGAATACTTGGAGAGTCATTTTATTGATAAACAAAAACAAGCCAATCATCGTTTCTGTCGTTTTTAAAATATAAAAAGTGATATATATATATATACAATAGCCAATTAAATGGAGATGAAAAATACTCGTAAGCCAACCAACTTCAAACTTATATAACTTTTAAAATAATTTATATTAGTGTTACAAAATAGTGTTAGCATTATTTTGTTAACATTTATACCTGTTTGAACTGCAAGACTTGATGCTCTTAACCAGCTGTCAGACTGATAGATTTGTTCATTTAGACGTTCTGGAAACAGAAATCTTTATGTTTTATACACTTGAAAAACGAAATCTTTGGTTTATTAAAAAAAATTCATTAAATAGCACTTCATAAAATTAAATAACTAAGTAAGGTAAACGTACCAGTGCCCATACATAGCTTATGGAATGTTTGTTTTTTTTGGTATATGCCACCGTAATTTTCGAATGAGAAATGCTTTATTAAATATGTATAAATTATAAATTTCCAAAATGCAAAGAACATTTATAGAACATAAGGCAAGATTACTCGCCTGCAGGAAATGTTATATGTTTTATGAGAAGGAATTAGTCGAGGGTGCGGTCAAAAAAATAAAAAAATTAAAATATATAAATAATTTTAATTTTTGCCGACGTTTCGACCCACTTTGCAGGTCGTCTTCAGGGCGTTGGATGTGGCACTGCGGGAGGCGGTTGAAACATATGTTATATAATTTACATGTACAGTACAAATAAAGACCTTGTAACAACTGCATATACATGAATGACTAATAAATAATAAAACAACTAACAAAGTATAAAATGATAAGTATTTTGAATAATTTATGTCTGAGAAATAATAATAAAGGAAAATAATGGAAATAATAAACAATAACATGAATAAAACTGACCAAAAATAAATTAGACGGATCATTGTTTATGCCGGATGTAGCAAATTAAAATGGTGTTTCCACGCATGCCGAGCAAAACCGACAATTTTACGGCACAGAAGGGGCATTTAGAAGAGAAATTAGAATATCATTTCGGACCGGGCTAGTTAAAAAAAATTCGATACGGGTTTGACCAAGCATTGAACATTCAGCCAGAAAATGGAATAGGTCCTCCTTTAATGGTAGGTTACAGAGGGGGGAATCCGATATATTCCTGTCAACCTACACAAGCCCATGGGACCTCGCCATTTCAATACAAAGGAGTTTACACCTGGGCTTCTAGAACAACCAATTCAATCTCGCGCCCCGCCACACACTCTCCATTACCCCACCCCGTACGCCCCCACACCTCCATAACCCACACCAAAATACGCAACTAGTCCACACAACCCACAAAAACCTGTCCACCTCACCCACTAACCCCCTCCGTCAACAACCACATCACCCCCATATCTAATATCAATCTCCCTTGCAATAATCCCACATTTACAAAACCCACTCCCCCCTCCCAACCCCAACCACTCCACACTCCCATCCTCTACACAAACCCCCCAATCCCCCCAAAAACCCCAACAACAACCTACATACCTACCCAACCCCTTCTCACTAATTCTCTCCCCAAAAACCCCCACCCTACCAACCTCCCCCACCAACACCATCCCCCACCTACCCTATAACCACACCCTATTCAAATATTCATAAAACCCACCCACACAACAAATTATACATAATCCTTCCCCCCCCTCCCCCCAAACAACCATCCCCCAAACATCCCCCAACACATAACCACCCATCCCCCCACAACCATCTTCCCTCTCACTACACCAAATTCTCTACCACATCCACCCACAAATAAAATTCTTCACTATTTTCACCACACAATATCCAAATCCCCCCATTCCCCCAAACCCCACAACCTTCCCCAAAAAATCCTTCCTCAACACCTCACCAACACCCAATACTACCCATCCCTCATTCCAACAAAACAAAAATCCCCCCTACCAATAACACTTACTACCAACAACTAATTCCAAAATTCCAACAAAACTTTACACCAAAAACACAACCCTATATACAGGCATAATCTCCATTAAAAAAAAAACATCGTTTTAAACTAGTGATGGACACACCGAAATCCGATTGTTCTACTAATGGATAGGGGGTCGGTACCAGTAATGGACACACCTCAGAAAAATTCTAAAATCTTTAATAAACTATAAAAATAATCAAAATGATAAGATAAAATCAATGTTCAATTTATTCTTAGCGAAAATTTTAATAGGAAGGTATGAAACACACTGATCTCAAGAGCACTCACTATAGAAACATCAATGATAGGAATTCTAATATCTACTTTTTGGAACTTTGGAATATAGAAAAAACTGGAACCTTTAAATCAACAAGAAAGCTTATTACTTATATTTAAAGTCATGTCCATAACTGGTGCGTTCACGTACTATATAAAAGGATTTCTGATATATATATATATATATATAAATACATTTTATATATGGAAGTACATTCGATATATGAAAGGATTTGTGTCGTTTTGAAAGACTTGTCGATAAATAAGTTCTTTTTTTTTTTTTTTAGCTTTAATGTTTTATTCACACCTGTCATAATGCTAATGACAACCAGTGAATGTGAGATCAATTGATTAATAGAATTGTCATGAAAGGCATGAGGAGGATCCGTGCACCTCACTCGGCGTGATATCTACATTAGGCGAGGAGGTCCCTCATACAGCTCCTCTTCAGTCTTCTACAGATGTTACCTGGCATATTCGTAGTGGCCATGTCATTTATAAGTGTATTAGTATGTCCTTGTAAGTTGTCATGGAATCGTTTGTAATGAATACGTATGTGTTCGTTAACAGTCGGCATATGGAGGTCAGTATGTAAGGTTATGTTGCTAACGTACCAAGGTGCTTTTGTAATTGTTCTGAATGTTTTTGCTTGAAAGATTTGAAGTTTGTTTAAGTGAGTCTTTTTAGCAGTTCCGAATATCTGTGATGCGTAAGTCCAAATAGGTTTTAGTAAGTAATTGTATGTGTTCAATTTCTGTCTAAGTTTTAGTTTTGAATTTTTTGAAAGAAGTGAACTCAGAATTCTTAATCTTTGATTTAAAGTTTTTCGTTTTTTGATTATATGTGGGCCCCACGTCATTTTTCTGTCAAATGTCAGACCAAGGTAGTGAACGGTGTCTGTCTGTGGAATCTGTGTATCGTCAAGGAAAACTGGAGGGCATGTTTCATGTCGAAGCGTAAATGTGATGTGCCGTGATTTGTCTTGATTTAGTCGGATTTTCCAAATTTTGAACCAGTCATGTAATCTCGTTAAATACTGTTGTAGGGTCTGTGAGGCGTATGTTGGATTTTTGTGTCTTGCTAAAATTGCTGTGTCGTCTGCATATGTCGCTGTTAAAATGTTGGGACTACAAGGTATGTCATGGGTGTATGTGATATAGAGTAGTGGAGCGAGTACTGAACATTGAGGTACTCCTGCTGAGATAGACCTGATGGAAGATAGTTCTGACCCGTATCGGACAGAGAAAAATCTATCGGAAAGTAAGGATTGTAGAATTAGATAATATGTAGGTGGGAGTATTGTCTTGAGTTTAAAGAGAAGACCCTGGTGCCAAACTCTGTCAAACGCTTGAGCAACATCCAGAAATACGCCAGTTGTATATACAATAAGTTCTTAATTCAGAAAAACGTTCTTAAATGTTTATCTTTATCAAAAATGTACTTAGTGACTTTTTTCATTAAACCGGCGAAATATACTTAATTGAAAGTCATAAGAAATGTCTAGCTCTTTTAATTAAAATGCTCATGAAAAATCAGAGTTATAATATCACATAAACTTTAAAGTATCCATGAAATATTTGTATAAAGCACCTTGTTCAACAGAATATCAACTAGATAAAGTTTTTAGAATATTACTAACAATTTCTTCATGTGTCCTAGGGGAAATACTTTTTTTCTGAGGTATATAAATAAGATTTGATAACAGTATTAATTTTCATTATTATATTATGAAGTTTCGGGGTCAACTTTCTTTTCCCATCTTCAGACAGTATCTCATCCTAATATCCTAATATTATTTTTTTATTTTTATATCGTCATATTTCATTCCGTAAATTATATTGTGGACTCCTCTAGCGAGAGCTAGTCAGATACTAATCTCATATATTTCTAAGAATATTGACTTACAGTTCAAACCCCGCCGAGGAGGTAAACATACTAATAGTCCCTACTCCTAGGAAGTGAGCAAGGGGTGTGGGCACCAAGAAAATCTCATTTGTCGGTATTTGGCTGATATCAGGAAAACTACGCTCTAACGACATAAACGATATAGACTAAATTACACTTTCAATAAGATTGATATTTTTTTTTTTTTGGTACCTGATATAGTATCCTTTTTTTTTTTTTTTCGGGGGGTCCTCCCCTTCCTCGCCTTTAAGGCTATACGGGGTTTTCCCGGGCCAGGGGGTGTGGGCGGGAATTTAAAGACGCGCCGGGATGCGAACTCGTGACTATTTTTTTTTTTTATCAATTTATCTTATATCAGGTTGCCGGGCAACGGTGGTGCTGTGCACACGCGTTAGCCCATTCGGCCACCCCGCCCACTGATATATTATCCGCGATTTGCCTGACCAATCATCGTTAAGTTAAAGAAAAAAAATTACCTCAAATTTGTTTTTATCTTCGTAAACTCTTTAGCTCCCCATTATTCGAAAAAATCCCGGGGAAGAAAGTTAGTGAGCATTAAGTTTCCATCAGAAAATATGTATTATAGTACTAAAAAAAAAACGACGATGAATGATCATCCAATCAGGAACACATATTTGAGTTGGGGGAAATTATTTCTGAATCGGCGTCATGTCCAGATTCTTCTGATTTATCAATATTTTAAAGTTTCTGAAAATTTCAATCTATTTTTAGTTTAATTTGCCTTAAAAAAATTTTTGTCGATATTTATTACCTGAGCCACCTCAATTCAATCGTATACGACTGATGTTTCCCCCTTTAATTATTTCTTACTTCTTGAAATATTGAATGAGTCCTAGGAACACTAGTAAAAAAAAAAAAAAAGAAATGTGTACAGTAAACTTAGACACATCTTGGTACATAAAAATAAATAAATATAGAAACGTAGATAATTTACTGTCACACTAGTTTAATAACTGTAACAACTAAAGCGAATCTATTAATCAATCAAAGTATACTTTTTATTTCCTACAAAAGAAATTCGTTCAAAATCTTTTTCTAAAACTTTTACGATTCTCATATTTCTGATTATTCATTTCCCTTACCTTCATTATTTTCGTCGGACACGATAAAACAAATGTTTACACTCATACTCTTAAACAAGTAATTATTAACTGACTACACAATTTCAATTTCATTCTCTAGTCCTCTATATAGTATTGTTTTTTTTTGTTTAGATTGAGGTTTGAAATTCTTCAATGTCGGATTTAATGAAGGAAACGTTCCTGTATACACACAGGCACTAGTGCCCAGAGATAAATTCAGTATTTATTTTTTGAATTTTGCACTTTTTTTTCCTAGTTCGTTTAAAGTTACCGAAAAAAATAGAATTGATTCCTCCATCTTATGATACATTGCATTTGTACAATACTCAATATTCTATGCACACGTGTTAACTAGTTTATAAATATTACCAATGCTTTTTGATAATTCACACTATTCGTGTTCATTGTTTTTCATATATTGGAGTGATGGATTCCTCACCTGTATTGGGTAGAGCCATCCTTGTGTCCTTGAAGAAGGACTCTTCGACATCCTCTCCTCTCGAGTACCCCTGGCCAAAGACCGCACTGCAGACTACCACCAGCCCAAGACCCAACAGCACCGCGGCGACCGAACCCATCGTACACTCTTCGACCGCCACAGCATGTCGTAGGTCTTATAGGCTACTCCCACCTCACACACTGCAGTGAAAGCACACCCTGATGTTCGGCTTCGAGGGAACATCATTACAATGAGCTACCGACTAGGATGTCGATTTGTGATGTTGGAAAAGGTATTTGCTGGCTATTACAGACCGTGAACGTGGGATAATCTAATTCACATCGAACAGAAATCACACTTTAACGCTAACAATAGCCTCTTTTGATATGAAGCGGTGAAATCCTTCTGTTTAGTTATGAGCACTTTTCTTCTTCTTAACAAATGGAATTGCCCATTGATTGTTTCAAAAATTCTATGACTAAAATAAACCTATGAAAAGAGACATAAGGTGATTATGGTATAAATGGAAAAAATCCAAACTACAAAGCTATGACTCTCCAAAGTACATCAGGGCAGAAACAACAAGATCATAAAGAAACTAATAAATTAAAAAAAATATTGCAGTTGACATCTCACGAAGTCATCGAAATACTATTAAAGGTTCTATTAACACAGCTAAAGAAGTTTATATTAAATATCTGATTAGCAAGAAAAAAAACAACAATAAAAAACATACCTTTTTGTATTGTTAAATTTTAGTTATACGTATTTTTCTGTTTTCTTTTTTAAAAATTTTTTATTATGTTTAATGGTATGTTTGACTTTTATTATGATTCTTTCTTAACACATCTATCCTTCAACTATATACCATATTATACTCTTCATATAGCCTATTCCATTACCGCTTTCAAAAAATTGAATGTCAATTGTCATTTATATACACTATAACTTTTTTTTCATCATCATAACCTTGTCTACATTTATACTAACATTCTAAATTTTTCTTCTAAAAGTTTTTTTCTAACAAAATAATACATATTTAATAAATCTATCCTAACGATATTACAAGTCATGTTATCTGATTAATTTTTCAATTTCTTTATCTGTTAGCCTTTAGTCTCGTAATCTGTTTACCTTCATTTATCAAGTGTAACATCAACAAGCTTGTTATCCACTGATATCTTATTCTTATTTTAGCTTTAGTAGATCATTACTTATTCATTTTTCAATTTCTTTATTCGTCAACACTCATTTTCTTTATCTGTTAAACTATAGATATCAAATGTAATCTTTACCAGTTTTTTATACGCTCATCTTATCTTTTATCACTATCTGTTTACTTTTAACTTACATGCTATATTCTCCTTTTTTTTTCATACTTATTTTCTATTTTTGTTTGTATCTTCTTCTATGTATATAATACTTGATATTTTAACTGCACTATATCTCTGATGTAATCTTATTATTTCTTTATCATACAACTGTTTCTGATTTAATATTTACTTATAATTCATTTATTTTATTTTCACCATGTACCTTTTATATTTTGTGGCCCTAATGAAGGTGGATCGAAACGTTGGCGAAACAATTAGAAATACTATTTTTGAACAATTTAGTATTTATTTGACCGCATCCCCAACCTACTCCTTCTCGTATTGTATCACGGACAACCATCTCTACATCATTATTAATTTTTTTTTCTTTTCGTTTCATTTTCCTTTTTGTACATAATATAATAAACTTCGTAATGGAAAATAACAGTTTAATAGTTGTTCAATCCATATTCGACGGATCGAACAATCCATAAAAAACGAATCGTACAATCCATAATCGACAGGTGATATAATAAATAGGACTTTTGTGTTTTTAATATTATTTATGATTTGCTAGCTGCAATATTTTAGCTTTAGCTCAGTTAAAAATGCAATTCAATAATTTTATAATAGCCCAACATGGCCAGAAAATAATTTCTATTCAAAGTTGAGCGCTAAGTGAAAATTGTGTGTTGCGCGCACTCGATTTTTTTTAATTTGATTAAACACGTTTTGTATTATTATATTTTAGTTGTACCTACTTTTTCTCCTTGTATTACATCTAGTCAGCTGTTCAATATAACCTTCCTTAGATATTGTTAATAGAACCTTCTCTTTCCTTTACTATATATTTGGATGGCTTCGTGAGATGTCTACTGCATTCATTTTTTTTTTTTTTTTTTTGCATACATGTGATCTTGTTTTTTCTTCCCTTATGGTGCCAGAGTTGACGAAACATTGGCAAGTTAACTATTCAACTGAATGTTGGAAACTCATGGGTTTGTTGTTTGGATTTTTCTAATTATGCCAAAGATTTTATGATTACTTAGAAAAAACTACATACAATTATATAATCTCATTCTGTTTGATTCTTGCTTTAATTAAAAAACAAAACAAAAAGAAGTTTTGTTTGGTGTTGAATATCCTCGTAGATGATGGTGTACTTTACATACACATTTTGTACTTCTTAAAACGGTTTTCAGGTTTTGTAGATACCTCAAGTATTCATAAATATTTAGGTTTTTTAAACATAAGTGTGTTTCCTTAACCTTGATTTTGTACGGCCTTCTTCTGTATTTTACTGTTCAACGGCCATTAAGTTTGCAAGCCATTCCTCTAAAATTCCCCTACTCAAAAATCTCGTGTTTTTCTTGGACGACCTCATATTATTCTTCCATATATTTCCTAAAAGTAAACCTTCATTGGCAATCTTCATTCAGGCATTCTATTTAAACATCTCAAGTCCATACCTATCGAAGGATTTTTTTTTTCTTCAATCTCCGTTTTTCTTTACAGCAATCTTTTCAGGATTATTTTATTTCTTATTTTATTTATTTTTAATATTGGCGTAGCTTATAACCAGTAAGCTATTTTCGTTGCCAGGGTTTTTCTATTAACATCGCCATTCATGATCCAGGATTCCGCTCCATAAGTCATAATACTTAATACTATAATTTCATTTGTATTTATTTAGGGTATGCTAAGGTATGGTAGGGATTTTAGGGCGTATTTATTGGGTTGTCCTGAAAATAATGTAGGATTTTGGTTTATAACAAAAAAAGAAAGATTTACAACTGTTTTATTTAATCAAAATAGTCCCTATTACTATCAATACATTTCTACCAATGTGTTGGCAACTATTTCATTCCCTCGGAATAGAATTTCCCATCTTTAGAATTGATAAACTCCAAAAACGCATTTTCTGATTTCCTTTGTCCATTAAGTTATTTTTGACGGAAGAAGTGGTCCAAGTGTCTAAAAAAAAAAAAAAAAGATAATCCGTAGGCGAGAGGTCCGGAGAGTAGGATGGATGTGGGAGAATTTCATATCCAAGCTCCAACAGTTTTTGTGACGTCACATGTGAGACATGTGGCCGGACGTTGTCATACAACAAAATGGGCCCCTTCCAATTGTCAATTTCTGAGGCATTGCATTAATCTGATTACAAGAAGAAGCGGCATTGATGGTTTCTCCAGGATTTAAGAAGCTGTAGGGAATCAAACCAAATGAAGTCCACCAAACAGTAACCATCACCTTTTTCTGATGAGTTGGGGGCTTTGGAAAATGTTCTGCTGCTTCTCCTTTGTCGAGCCACTGTCCAGAACGTCTACTGTTGTCGCAAATTATTCACTTTTCATCACAAGTAACAATTATGGACAGAAAAGGGTAGTTTTGTTTTTGTCCATGAAATGTAACACAAACATCATAACACTGTTTTTTTTTCAGCGGTCGTTTTGTGTGTGTCGAACCCAACTTACAAGCTTTTGTACCTTTCCAATCGCGTTGATGTGGTCACAGTCGGTCGATTTGCTAAGTCTAACTTTACCTGCAAGTTCTCCAATAGTTGTTCTTGGATTTTCTTCCAACTAAGCCCTCTGAACATCGTCATCAAGACAGGAAGTCCTTCCACGACCTTCGTTGTCTTCAAGGCTGAAGTCTCCCTTTCCAAATTTTTTTAACCACCGATGAACAGATCATCCATTAATGATGATGACCTCGCCCTGGACTTGATTGACGTTACTGGCCATCTGGCCTTCATTCCGGCCGAGTTTAAATTCATAAAACAAAATTATACTAAGATCACGCCTTGACATTTTAATAATGACTGAATTATTTCTAATCAGCAGAATGCTACAGATGTAAAGTAACATTATCTTTTGGAATAGGATTAATAATTGTTGACATTCAGACGAATGAATAATCCAGTAAACGTAAACCTTTTGTTATATATAGAGGTATTTTAATGATAACTCAAAATCCTGCATTATTTTCCGGGCAACCCAGTATTTTGGTTTTAGAAACTAAACTCTATCCAATGCCTCTTCAGGGGTCAAATCTACGTTATCAGTATAGAAGATGGCATAAATTCTGTCGTTTTAATATTAATAACTTGCTCTCATTGTCCATAATCCTCTTGTGATTTTGATGTACGTATGTATTTATATATATTATATAGGTGTCGGAAGTTATTATCTAGTGGTTTGCTCTCTGTATGTAGGCAATTGTTGACTATTGGAAGATATCGTTGAATATAAATTAGTTGGGGATTGTAGTAATCGAAAAGACACATAAATAAATTATATTTATTTTCTTTGTGTTTCGTGTTATTATATTTATATATATTCAATTAATTTCTTATTTAAATCCTTATAATATTTATTATTTGGCATAAGGAAAATAAATACAATTTATTTCTGTGTACTTTCAAAGACTGCAATCCCCAATTGACTTTTCTTCAACAGTATGCATTATATATATTGAGTTTGTATTTATAAGAGTATTTATGACAACATGTACTAAAAAAAATAGTTGTCTAAATTTTAATGCATATTATTTGATATAATTAAAAGTTTTATATCGATTTATAATCACATTACTAGTAATAAACCTTTAATACACATATTGATTTCATAAATAACCTACTAATTTATTTAAGTAAATAAACATCTCCAACTAAAAAAATAAAATATTTATGTTTTCTGTTTTTTTGAAGTTTGCTGCTTATCGTGCTTCATTGTGTTCAAGAGCTCTCATCCCCAAATATTTTTCACAGTTTTAAGAATTTCGTAATGATACTTTTATACCCAAGCTATTGTCTACGAAATTT